CTTGGCAACTTGTGAATGCTCCAAATGCTTATGTGGCAAGAAGTTGATTTTGAACAACCATAATAATATATAGTAAGATAGTAAGTTGGACTTATCATCGTCCATAATAAATGAGTTTCAAGCTTGAAAATGATGCATGTTTTGTCTTATTATAAGCAGTACTGCAACTGACAACATAATAATTGAACACCGACGTTAATTTCCCGAAATAGCCAAATTATTTCATATCTCTTCTCTTTCGGACCTGTCCATTTCTCTTCACTATTTAATGGGCCAACATTTGTCTTCAACTTGATGTACGCCTGTATCAAAGGCCCTAGTTTGAAATTTCAAGCAGAAAGAATATGTGATGTATGGTTTCACATTTTGATGGGTCCGGCTGATCAAGACCTTTTGACCATTTTGATTTGTAGCCATTAATTACTGGTTAGTTGTTGCCCTGTCCGTCTACAGATTAAAGACTGTCCATCCACTTACAGCCATAGATATATAGGTGAAAAATACTAACATTCCGATGGCATTTGTTTCTTATAGTAACAAAAAAGTAACAACCATAGTTTAGAGTTTAGGTTACGTCGATTTCTTCTACACAGTCGCTTCTGCTTTATTTTACTAACTATTATTTGACGGACGATACCTGTCATGCATCTTCTTGCCTTGAATTTATTGTAACCAAATCGGTACAATTATCACTTTATTCTTGTTGGATCTGAACCGATCTTTTTGTACAGTTCACGATATACTTTTGAAGAAAATAATTGTGTACAGTAACCTTGTACATGGGCCAGATAAAAGGAATTACTAATACTAATTCATTTTAGATACAAAAGTTATCTGTTGTAATTGCTAATCGTTTCTCTCAGGATCATGAGATCAAAATTTATATAAATCTTAATACATACATACATATATCATTGCATTCACATATTTAAATGACTTATTTTGTTTTATTATGTACAAGTTTCCCATACAAATCCTTCATAAAATAATACACAAAGTTTAAAATAAATAATTGCTAATTCATCTTTTATTTCCCAACATCTACACATGCATGGAGACAAGGTTGGACCAATAATGTTCCATACACAATTGGGGTTCTTATTTTATTTGTCTGTATGCATATCCCAATAAAAAAATTAGAATTCCAGCAAAAAATATAGTATTGTTAGATAGTTACATGCACACTATTGTTTCACCCCTTTTTGCTTGGTCTGAATTGGGACGGATGATGATTGTAACAGATATAGATGACTCATATTCTGTGTCCATCAATAAAACACCAAAACTAAAAACATGCAATTTAGTGAAAGTATGAAAAGCTAACAGTCACAGAATGCCATAGTTAGTCACAGAATGCCATACATTATGTCCTCTATTTAAGACAATGGCTATACATATGAAGAACCATGATTGCATTGAAATAAAAAAGCAAAGGATAAACGAAAGCGGTTCTTCAGAAAGGAAATGGGAGGACATGGATTTAGATATCTTAGTGAAGACATTCAACACTCTTGACACACTTGAGTTGACGTCAGGGATTGGTCAAGTTTACAGTTCATAGTGCATAACATGTGCTAGTCCTCTTCTATGGAGAACATTGGATCTCTCGACAATGAAGTCCAACTTCATAAATACTCCTATAGAGCCATACGTGTACGTGCACAGTAGTTCAGATAAAACTCTAACACGTTTATTAAAAACAGCTCTGAATCCCCGCTTGCTACAAGTACGATAATCATAATTAAGCTGCACGACTAAACTGGCAAATCCATCAATCTGGATAAGGTGATATAGATTGGTGGATCGCTAGCAATATCACACCTTATAATTGAGTCGGCTAGTCTGAAGTGTTGGGGGCGCCTCTCATTTTCGAACAGAGGTTTGCATTAGTGCATGCATAATGAGAATGGTTGAGAAGTGAGAGCAAAGGTAATACATACATAAAACACAAGCTAGTGTCTAGTGAGCATATCCAACTTCCTTACTCATTTTTCCCAGCTTAGATCAAAATCTCAGTGCTCCTGTTTTCCCCAGAGTTCAATATCAACCAAACCAAATCTAGCGTACAAAGTGACACAAAAAAATGCAAGAATTAATGCCACACCAACACAGGGGAACAATTACATCGAGCCGCATAAGCCGAAAACATCCCAGAAAAAAGCTTCGAAGATCCCCATATCGTCGTCGTCAATCATGAGTGTTGAGAGCTTCCCACACCAGATTCTTTGGCACAGGGGTGGATACGTCCTTGGCTTGCAACGCGACGACTCTGAGTGTGTTATAGGTGAAGACATTCGCCATCCAGAACGAGGCACAGTTGTAGGTCAGATTGTGCTTCTTGCAAACCTCCTAAACAAATGGAGACACCTTTCAAAGCTGGCACCTCGACAAGCGAGGGGACAGATGATGCTACACCTGAAATTGCAATCCACCATGGAACCATTTTCCTTTTTAAAAAATGGTAACTTTCTCACCTAAACAGAAGATAAACAAACCAACAATGGACTTATGAGAATGGTCCTTTCCAACGAGCCACTGTGGTAAACCTGGCGGTGGCGGTGGAAATAATGGCAGAGCAGCAGTATGAATATGCATCTTTTTGTGCAGCAGCAAATATCTCACCCTACCCAACCAGCTGCATCATTACTTAAAAAGGAAGGATGCAACTTTTGAGAAACCACACAAAATGGATAGAGAGAACATCAACCATGCGGTCGAGGAATTCCATGAATGACCATCCCATGAACAAACATGCAACTGTGGAAGAAACAAGTAGAACGGAAAAAAAGAATGAAAGAACACATAATGGCTCGAGAAAGGAAGAAATTGTGAGACTCTCCTTCAAAGATATGGACGGTTATATAGGAAAAGAAATGGGCAGCTATGTGACGGTACAAGTACATGCAACGAGATTAAAAGCCTCCAATAAAGCATGTACGGGAAAACAACAGTGCACACTGACTATAGGAACCCAAGCATAGTGCACGTCCCTTTCATATTGAATACAAGAAGATAAAATAGAGAAGAAGACCCAAGCATAGTGTACGTCCCTGTCATATTGAATACAAGCAGACAAAATAGAGAAGAACTCACCTAGTCGCGTCCGCAGGAGAGGATCTCCTCCTTAGCTACAGTTCGCTTCCTTTCAAAATTATATATTACGAGGACCTGGTGAGGAAGCACTCCGACCAGCTAAACTCCGTCGTCAGGTACCGGTCATGTCGAGACGTGCCCCAGCCTTTCTACATGCAGCTCCATGCTACCACCGTTACCATGTGCCCTTCATGCTAGTGCGTCACCACGGCCAACACCTCCACCGCTTTCGCCGCTCGCGCATCCACCTCCCCCAGCCCAATCACCATCGTGGTGGCTGTTGCCACAGACGACACCAACAATTCATCAACAACATTGTCTTTCGGTAAACTTGGCGGTGGCGGTGAAAAAAATGGCAGCAACAATATTGTGTGCATCAGCTCCACAGCAACAGTAACAGCCTCAACCTACCCAACCAGTCGCGTCATGACTCAAAAAGGAAGGCTACAGCTCCTGATAAACCACATGAAATGGTTGGGGATAATAGAAATGAATTCCATGAAATGACCATCCCATGAACAATTATGCAACTGTAGAAGAAACAAGTAGAAAAAAAAGAACGAAAGAGCACCCAACGGCTCAAGAAAGGAAGAAAATTGTGAGAATCCCCTTCAAAGATATGAACGGTTTTATAGGAATGAAAATGGACAGCTATGTGATGATACCCTTTCATATTGTAAGAAGATAAAATAGTGAAGAAGACCCAAACATAGTGTACGTCCCTTTCATATTGAATACAAGAAGATAAAATAGAGAAGAAGACCCAAGCATAGTGTACGTCCCTTTCATATTGAATACAAACAGACAAAATAGAGAAGAACTCACCTAGTCGCGTCCGCAGGGGAGGATCTCCTCCTTAGCTACAGTTCGCTTCCGTTCAAAATTATATGTTATAATGAAGAGAGAGATTGTTTGCTTACCTAGTGGTCCCGTGCTTTGCTTTCCCACTATGGTCCCGTGCTTTGCTTTCCCATTGTGGTCCCGAGTCTGTCGACAGCTTCGCTTTAATCGGCTTTGGAGAAGAGATCGATGGGTGGGGAAGGGTTGTTCTCGAAAGCGACTTTTGGAGAAGAGAGAGATAGGTGGGGAAGGACTGTTCCTTCTCGAGTGCTGCGCCTCGACAATGCTTTTCAATTCACACCAACCGACCTATTTGAGCGCGACGAGAGCATATGGGTGAGAGGGTTAGGGTGAGCGTGGCGAGAGCATCTGGGTGAGAGGGTTAGGGTTCTGGGTTAAAAGAAGAGAAGGTGAATCGAAGGGGAATGGAGAAGGAGGAGTCAGGGAAGGAGGATTTCAACAATCAGGGACGGCGGCGTCTTTAACCGGCCGGCCGTCGCTGCATTTGCCGGAGAATCGAAGAGGAAATCATCGGGTTTTCGGGGAAGACGATGGGTCTGAAAGGGAGGGAATTATTTCCCGATGAAGGCTATGCGGGAGGATAAGGGAAGTGAGGCTGGGATAATTTGGGGTCCTTTATTTTTTTCGTTCTTTTAATAAATTTTTATGATTTATTATTTTCCTTAATCGAAAGAAAACAAAATTCAGAAATAAAAAATAATAATTTTTTATTTCCTGATAGCTGACGTGGCAGGTGAGGTAGACATTGACTAACGGTCAACAGGTTTAACCGTCTAATTTGACGGTCAAACCTGCCTCCAGACCAAATAAGGAAGTTTGCTACATAATTAAGGCCAGAATAGCAATTTTCAATACCACGAGCCAAAGTAGAAAGTTTGTATATAGTTCGGGCCAAACTAAAATATTAAACCTATATTATATATCATGAACGATTCTATCAACCAACAATTTTGTATGAAACTATGGATTAATAACCGAACTCTAAACCACTAACTTTTCTATTTAGCTCAAAACCGTGGCAATTATTTATTCTGAACATTATCTATTGGGAAAAAAGATAACGGCCATGAAAGAGTAAGAAGTAAGAACTAAGAAGTAAGAACTAAGAAGGCATCAGATTTGGATTCTTCCCAGTCTTCTTGACCGATCCTTTCAACCCCGAAACTGCCACTGTGTAAGGCGTCCTCATGTTCCATGCTTGCACGTTGAGGGAGCTCTTTGTTCGCTTCGCATGGCGTCGAAATCCTTACTAGTGCAGCCATGTGCAATCGTAATCTTCTGTTCGAGTTTCTGCCTCCTTCCTATTATATTCCGTTGGTCAAATTCTGCGTTTTTGTGTAATGATTTTTGTTGGCAGGGAGCCATGAGTGAGCCATTGAACTGATGTTAGGGATTAGTATAAATATTTCCATTCGATTGCATTGCAGTGTTGCTCCGGGAAATGGCTTGGAAGTGGAAGCTTCACTGAAAGAGCTTATCGAAATGCTTTGAGTGGAAGAATGAGGTTCTCTTGTTTCCGCGTTTTCGCGTTCTTTTCCCCTCAATTGAGACAACTGGAAAATCATGAATGTTCCAATTTCCTTGGTTATTTTCTTTGTTAGATTCAGGTTTGCCATTTCATTGTTGAGAGTGGCGAAATTTAGCACTCGATCAAAGCAAAAGAAGGCTGGGAAAGTAGACAGCAACACCATCCAGAGTGTCGCTGACAGTGACAGGTCGAATTTTCTTAAGGTAATGCTTGATTGTCTATTGTACTTTGAGGATGGAATTTTTAGCTCCACATCAGGTAGTGACTTATATGACACTGGTTCAGTTTTAAGTGTGATTGATGGTGATAATGAAAGCCATAATAAACGAGGTAGAGAAAATGCACAGACCTTTAGCAATCTACTTCTTGTTCGGACGACCTAAAGAAGTGCCGATCTGAGTTGTTCATTTTCCTTACATCAGTGACTGAACTCTGCATTACAGAGTGTCGTGGTATATAATTAAAACCTTGATACACTTCTACTAGAGGGTCGAATAAAGAGACGCTACTTATCCTTCTGTTCGTAGTGATTCTGTTACCTTTTATACTGAATTAAGTTACTGATTGCCCCCTCCTTATCCTAGCACTCGGAGTTTTCTCTCCCAAAACAGAACTGTAATGATAATTTTCATTTGCACAACTCGGTTAGTCTTAAATGGCAAAGTCTTATTGTAGGTCCAAGCTTTGATGGACTATGATGGTTATCGTGATCTCATTGGGGAGGAGAATGCTAACAAAATATTTGGGCGGGATCTCAGAAATGCAGTTGATGATTTTGATATTTCGTTTGCGTGTAGAAGATTTCCTTCTCTTGTCATAGGCAGTTCTGCTCCTATTGAGTTATATGGAGAGACCACACACAGTTCGGTAATCGAGAGCCTATTAGCCTCAACAGACCATAAGGGTTTTATTCCAACTGCTATGGATACAAAATGGCTGGATCCTGTTAATCCTTTTGAACAGTTGCCTTCTGTGCAAAACGTTCCTGATTTGCACTCTTCCAATTCAGAAGAACTGCTAGATGAAAATTCAAGTACTACAAGTGAAGGAAATGAGGAATTTGGAGAAGGGTTGAATAGCTTGCCTTCGTTTGTTGAGAAATCAGATTTGGAAAATGAAGAAATGTCAAGTGATGTAGTTATTGGGGGCGTTCTGGCTGGCAAGAAAAGTTCTCAGCTAAAACAAAACGGCTCATCTCTTGATGCATCTCTGAATTGTGTGCCTGGAGTAACTACCAGACAATGCCATCAACTAGAAAACTATGGTTTCTACACGGTCAGTCTAATGGCTACTTTTGAAATTTCCTTTTGCATCTTTTGACTGAGATAGATTTGAAATGGTCATCTTTGCTGCAGCTAAGGAAATTGTTGCACCATTTTCCTCGTACCTATGCTGATTTGCGAAATGCACAAGTTGGGGTGGTGGATGGTCAATACCTAATATCTGTTGGGAAAGTCTTATCTTCCAGGTATATGTTTAATATACATTATAAATGTTCTTTGGTTTGCTATTCAGAATTGAGGTGTTGTCTTATAATTGTTAACTATATATGTTATACCTGATTTTCAAAATGCACAAGTTCTGTAGAACCTTCTTCAGCCTCTACAGGATCTGGCCTCTTCTTTATTAGTTATCTCATATTTCCTGAAGCACTTTTAAAGGAAACTCTGCTCTTTGATTCTGGTAGTTGGAAGTTCCGAACCTACTAGTTGTTAAATGATCATATTCTTCATTTAGTGAAAAAGTGTAGGAATGGTCTTCTTTTTCAGATTCCAATTATGGTGATTGCTACCTAAGATGAAGAGGAAAGATAAGTTAACGGAGGGACGTGTAATCTAAGGCATACACAAACATTAAAAAATTAGGGATTTTAAATGCTTTGATACTGACGAATCAAACTGTTGTACGTTGATTTAAGTATAAGACTTGCAAGAACTTACAGGATTGGATGTTTGCAGCTCTAGTCCACCCAGAAAATTCTTGAATGTCTAGTAATTTGGAAGTTTTTCTTATGTAGTTTCTGGTACTTTGTTTGTTAGCTTGGCTTCCTAGATTAAATCATCTGTGTTTTATCTTTTTCATGCTTGTTCTCCTTGGTCTCTATATCTGTGTGTATTCTTATTTTGATCTCTGTATATCTCGTTTATCTTTCAGGGGAGTTAGAGCAGGTTCTTCCTTTTCATTTCTAGAGGTGATTGTGGGCTGTGAGATCTCAAATGAGTCTGCGCATACGTTTGGTGATTGTCATGGTTTGGAAAAGAGTACCATTTATTTGCACCTAAAGAAGTTTTTCCGTGGCACTCGTTTCACTTTTCAACCTTTTCTCAGACGTCTTGAAGAAAACCATAAAGTTGGGGAACTTGTTTGCGTTAGTGGAAAGGTCAGTTCACTTTTTTAGTCATTGGTTGCCCTCCAAACTTGTATTAAGGAGATGCTTCCAGAAGGCCTTCATACCTACAAGAGTGTTTATCGTTTGATATATATATATCTTACATTCTTAAACTGCTAGGTAACATATGGTTTCCCTAGCTAGCTAGGGGCCATTAGGTCATGCTGTTATTTCACTCCTTCTCAATGTTACTTATTTTTTGATTGTGCAAATTCTTGGACTTGATTGTTGTTTTTCTATAACCCTAGGTTAGGAATATGCGGATCAAGGATCACTATGAAATGAGGGAATACAACATTGATTTGTTGAAAGATGATGAAGGTTCATCTGCACGTGCTGAAGGGAGGCTATATCCTATTTATCCTTCAAAAGGACGCTTGAATCCTGACTTTCTCCGAGACATTATATGGAGGTTATTATTTTATGTTCCTTCTCATTTTTTAGACACATTACTGTGTTGCTATCCTTCTGTTGTCGGTTGGTAGTCATTTTCTCTTCACTTTCGTGGATAGTTTGTGCTTCATTGTCCTTGTTACTTGTGGATGTTGGAACGTGGTATTAGGATTTTGTGTGTTTAATTTGGTTGGTCATGGATCTTCAGATTTTTTTGAGAACATCGGAGGCAACTAAAAAGTTCTGTTGATAAATTTACATTTATCGTTCCAGACTTGGATCTTTCTAAAGGGCGTTGTTGAAGATTTCCTTTGTTTTTTCAAAATGAATTTATTTGTATTCCTTCAATTCCATCACATTTTGTTTTATGCAATCTAGAGTGTTATTAACCAGACTTATAGTTGGAGTGCACAGTTATCCGACCTCCCCATAACACGCAGTCAAAGTTGTACATCCATTTGAGGATTTGATAGTATGTTATAGGAATGGAATGTTGCAAAGTTTGCGAAGGCCTGTGGCCACCAGCTGATGATAATTTCTTTATGTAAAATATTATATCTTGAACTAAAAAATTTAGGGTTAAAACTCAAAATTTACATGTGAAGATTGTCAAACTAATCTGGATATTAATATGTTCATTTTGTTATGGAAGTTGGATAGTCCTTTTCTTCTTGTCATTCTTTTCTCTCTTTTTTTAATAACTTTCTTTTCTCTTCTTGTTTATGTACATTGCTGTTCTTCATCAAACATTGGACTTACCCCCTTCTTTCCGTAACTTCTGGATAAATGATAATGTTTACTTGAAAAGTAAAGAATGTTATTTAATGCTTTGTTTTGAAAAGTGTGATTTACTATCTTGGTGACATGTTACCCAATCATTATAATGCATAACTTGCATGTTTGTTGATTCATGAGTATGGTTGCATCAGTTGCAAGACTTGTTGCTGAAAGTAATGCGTTTTCTCTGTATCCTTTCAGGTCTTAGTTATACATAAGACAACTGTCTATATGAAGATATAAGCTTGCTGACTTGCTTGTGTCTGTCTTATGGTTAAAAATTTATCATCTATTTACTCAAATGTTCATAAAGGACTCTATTGTTGTCAGTTACTGAGCTTACATGTTAGTTTCTATGATACTTTCTAAATTATTATGTGAACTTTCTATGATACTTTCAGATCCGTGCAAGTGTTGCCTTCCAATATTGATCCTATCCCAAGATATATCACTCAGGGCTTTGGCGTTTTGCCCCTTGGCGATGTAAGCAGTGTTAACATTCATTATTTTCCCACGCAGCAATTTGGCATTAATCCGAGACATGATTCACGGCGTTTCTTTGACTCAATGTTGGTTCGTCATTGTTTATTCTTCCTGTTGAGGTTCTAGCAAGATCGTATACTTTTTCTTCATCTTTTTCACCTGTCAGCTTAATTGTTTCAATTGAATAGGACTATAATAAGTCAGAAATTTGCTTCAGAGAGATTGGGGATAGTAATATTAATTACTCTCTGTAAGAGGTAAAATTGAAGACTAGGAAAAGGTGGCAGAACACTGAAAGTTATTGGAATACTTAGGGGTCGTTTGCTTGTTGGATTTGAAAAATGAAGGTTTTGTGCAACAAAAACCTAGGGATTCATGAGGGATTTATTGTATTATGGATTTGAAAAGTCTAGTGTTTGCATGATAGAATTGATAATGAATTTATGATGGATTTGTCACATAAGCAACTAACAACCATCATGGATTTACAAATCCCAAACAAATATGTGGGATTTACAAGTCCGTGGGGTCCACGGATTTGGTCCCAAATTAAAGACCAAATCCGTGGACCCCACGGATTTGACACCCATCAACAAACAATGGACTTGTGTTAAATCCATCAAACTTGGGATTTAGGTACCAAATCCATGACCCAAATCCAACAAGCAAACGACCCCTTAATATACTTCCTGGCAAAACATCTTTAGTTACGGTACCATGTAGCTAAGATGGTTAGTTTTGATCTCAGAAGCTGATGGGTCATTATCAGAGTTTCTTGTATAGTTGTTGCGAGTGCATCAAGTCAAAAGATTGAATGGTGACGTACGTTGGTTTCCAGTGAATGTTCTATGATTTCATTCGTGGACTTCATAATGTTGGCATCTTCTTATATTATACTGAATTCTAAGCATATTTTCCATATAGGCATACTTGGGGATTCACCAACCGAAGACTGTTGATGATGCTGACTCTGCTCGTAAAAGGCTGATATTTGACGAGTTCTTTTATCTGCAGGTGATTCTTTGCTGGGAACCTAAAGTTGATCTTTTCAAATTTAATCGTTTGCCTCGAGTCTAAATGGCGTCATAGTTTTTCAGCATTAGATACCTCTAGCAAGACTGGAGACCTAATTTGATCTATGTTTTATAATGAGTTAAGAGTTAAGGAGGCTGAACTTTTGACCGAAGGGCTTCTGGCCTAGTGGTACCAAGATGGTGTGCAAAGCCGTAGCTATCTGAAGCTATCGGATTTGAGTTCATGTGGACTCCTTGCTTGTTTTCCCCTCCCCTTTAGCGTAGTTGTAGGTTTGGATTCTATTCTATCTGCCAGCAAAAGAGAAAATATTAATGACACTGAACTTTTGGGATGAAAAGTATGAGTTGGCTGAAAATAGAGATGATGCACATAAAAGGCAGAATTGCCATGAGAAGCAGAAATCACCTGCATTAACCCGGAGTCAGACTATAACAGAAGAACATGTGATTTTCCTTGCTTTCTTTTTCCGAGGAAGAGGTCCCATGCTGCAAAGTACACTCTCAAGGATTTGAAAAATACACTTGTAACAGTAGAATGGACTTGTAATTTGTCCAAATGTCTTTATATGGTGAATAGTGTACATTGTAATATTTGGTGGCCCTTCTTTCCGCCTTTCTCTACAATTGTCTTAATTATGAAAATGCTGTTATGGTGTTTTAGAAAATTTATGATTTATCCCTACTTCATAGGTTCCCTTTTATATTGTTTTTATTGACTTTTCGCCCCTTTTGTTTTGCCAGTTGGGCCGCTTATTCCAAATGCTTGAAGGTCTTGGCACACAGAGAGAAAAAAACGGATTGTTGGACAAGCATATGAAACCAAAGTTAGATACTGTTCCTGTGGAGCAGTGGTCAAATCTCACGAAGGAATTTTTGAAGACCATTCCTTATTCTCTTACTCCAAGTCAGCTAACTGCTGCTTCTGAAATTATTTGGGATCTAAGTAAGCCGGTCCCCATGAATCGACTCTTGCAGGTATGGTTACTTCCTTGATTAAGCAGTTTTATTTACCTGAAAGTCTTAACTCATCATGGGAGTTGGTTTCTCAGATTCCAGTCTACCTTAGACATAGAAGATGGTGTTAAAATCTGTACTTGCAACTATGAACTCCAGCTTGAATTGGAAGGATTAGTAGAATGGTTTTAATTTAATCAGAGTATCTAATACTGCTTTTCTGGTGTTGAGGTATTTCCATACACTGCCTGTTGGGTGAGCAGACACTGAATACTGATTTCTGATAATGTATTGTCTTAAAATTTTCTTAATATACGAGCCCCTTGATTCAATTGTCTGATGATTTGGTTGTTTAGTGTTCGAGATATCTGCAATGTTTAGGTTCCTTAACAATCCCTTCATAGAGTCTTTACCAGAGGTTATTTGGCTCACTATGTCCTCTCCAAGCTGTGTTTAATGTCTCAGGTGCTGTAAGCTGTCCTCTCATCTAATCTAATTAGTAGATTATTCACCTTACTATTTCTGCCACTTAAGTTTACAGTGGGCAGCTTTTGAGGTGATTTGGCATTGAGACTATAACTACATTATGCATTGTCACTAGAACTCTGTCAAGAGCTTTTAGGAGTTCAAACAGGTCTGTTGCTCCATTAACTATTCTGAGAGTGAAGTGCATTCATTAGATGTACCGCTAGTCCTCTGCTTTACCTTTGTTTAATACTCGAGAAGTAGTGAGTGAATTACGGTCTGAAGTTTGAGCCGTACGCAATGAATTAGTGAGTGAAAGAGGCTATTGGTTTCAGTAAGGGAGGATGGGCTTCTTTTCTGCAGTTTTTCTTCATAAACTTCAACTACAATTGATGGAGGTTCCCAACAGAGAGAGATTCTTGGAGTGGTTCTCTCTTATTGATGTTGGTGGAATTAGGGATGGCAATTTGAACCCGCCCTGCCGGGTTTTACCCGACCTGACCCGCGATGGGGCGAGTATTATCCGACCCGCAGTAGCGTGGGGCGGGGCATGGGTACCAACTTCCGACCCGTCCTGCCCCGCCACGCCCCGTTCTTGGCTCATTCTAAGTCAATTTCTTATGTTATCCATTCATATATCTCCTAATTTGACATTTCTAGGTCAAGACTAACTAGTTAGACTTTATCTTTCAACTAAATAGACTTAATTACCCATTATATTATCACTATTATCCATTCATCAAGTCTTTTCCCATTCATTTTATCGTAAAAATTAAAATTTTGTTTATATTTTTTCCAAATAGCATATAAGGATGGGTCGACCCGCCCCGCCCCGTACCCGCGTGGGTATTACCCGCCCCGACCCGTAGTAGCATGGGGCGGGGCATGGGTATTGAGGTACCCGCCCCGCCCCATTGCCATCACTAGGTGGAATAGGAAAGAAGGAAATTCTAACGACTTTTTTTATGAAAGAAAATTCTAATGCCTTGGAAAGCATTGGCGGATGGGCACTATCTGTAAGTAGAAGATCAAACGTTGCCCAGTGTGTCCTTTTTATTTTCTTTATTTCTGTTTGAAGCTAGAAATGTGACGGCAGGCATACAATGCTGCCTCAAAGAAAGCGGAAGCGTGAAATCTAGAGACAATGAAGTTGGTCTTGGTCTTCCCTTTCATGTACCTATAATGACTCTTGCTTGATAACCTAATGGTTCTGAAGTGATTTGTTGTCTATTTGGAAGCCGGATGATTATGAGGAATATCCCTTTTTTCTTGATAAGGGTGATATAGGTTTGTTTTTATAATTATGTGCTACTTAAGAGATTCAAACCTAAGACCTCTAGGTTCCAGACCAGTAGTGATTCTACTGTACCAAGCCCTTGTTCTCTAAGAGGATTATATTTTTGGAGCGAGCTCATTTTGAGTCTGTTTCTCCCTGGTCCGTAACTTGATGGTTAACTTAAAAAATATCCTGAGATGGTTTTTAGTGGGAGCCTGTGGAATATGTTTAAAACTTAGTAACTTTGGCGGAAAACCAATGTAAGTGTAGGTTAAGTATGCAGCATCTAAAAAGGCTATTTTTCAATAGGATGGTTGGTAGGTTTTTTCGTGTAAAATCTAGATCCAGCTGGACTAGAAAGAAGTGCTAGATTGAATGGGTCATTGGTGCGTGTTACTTTACATAGCAGGACACTTTTGGTTATCTTGTAAGCTCCAATGAACTAACTACTTTATAAGGTCTGTTGAGGTTGGTGATATAAATATATTGGGCATTGAAGTTGGTAGATCTATAGTTGCATCTGTGAGAGACAGAATGCAGACTTCTTCTAATTCCATGGTCCTTTGCAGGGGGATGTTGGATGTGGGAAAACTGTAGTTGCTTTTTTAGCATGTATGGAGGTCATTGGCCATGGCTATCAGGTTGGTTGCGTTTAGCCGTTTCTTTCTCTACCTTTTCCATCTTACTCTGCTTCTATGTTTACCTTTCACCCATCCCTTGATTTGGATGAACAACTCTATCTAGTTGTTTTATTGATGAGTTTTATT